CCAGGCTCACGGCTGGCTTTGTGGCGCGGGGGGACCAGCGCCTGGCTAACAGATCAGCCAGACTTCTGGGGTCACCACCTGTGTGTGTGGGCGACAGGCCTGGGCGCCACGCACACCTGAGCTGAGGTGACCGTCACCCTTCTCTCGACTGCCCGCGCTGAGGCTCTGAGCAGTTCTAGCCATCACTGGATAGGCCAAAGTTTTGGCAAAAGCCAAAGGCTCTTTTTAATTTTTGTATCCCGTGGCTTTGAGTTCATACGGAGGCAGCCTGACCATTTATTTGGTGTACTGGCTTCACAGATTCTCCAGCTCAGGCTGCCCTGCGTGTGTGGGATGCACCTCCCCTGGTCATAGTACGTGTGTGGTGTTTGTGAGCTTTTGTCTCTGTTCCCGGCGTCGAGGTGAGCTAACCTCATAAATTGGGTTGAAAGCGTTCCTTCTGTTACTACCGTTCTCTGGAACCGTTGGTTGAAGACCGGAATTCCTCGTTCCTGGAGGGTCTGGAAAAACGCAGACCGTCCTGCCTGGGTGGGCTTGAGCCCGGGTAGGGGGACCGTTTCTGGGGGGCTTTCCGCTTCTGGTTTCTCGCCCTAGGAAGCTTCCACCTCACCCGTGTTATCATGGCTGCCAGCCTGCGGTCCCCTGCGGTTCTCGAGACTCTCAGATGTGGGGGTCAAGGACAGTCCCTTGGCTCAGCGCTGTCCCGTGGCTGGTGCTGGCCCCGCCACGGTCTCTCTTCTTTCCCAGGTGCTCACTGACAGGTGTGCATCCCCCGCCACGGTCCCTCCATCACAGGTCTCCACAGGTAGGGCTCTGTCGCCCGTCTTCTCAATCCTCATTAGGGCGTCTCCTTAGACCGACGTGTTACCAATTTCCAAGCACACGCAGGGTTGTCTTGAGCTCTTTTGTGACTTGTTTCTGTCTATGAAGGAGCACGTCCGTGTGTTCTCCTTTTTGGTGCTAGAGAGGCCTGTGTGCATCTTGTGAGTGCCCTGGGCAGCTGTGTTCTCCGCCTGGGAGCCAAGCTTCTGCCCGGAGGGACACGTGCTGTCTCCCCTGGGTTCACTCGCCAGAACTGGTCCGGGGTGAGTGGGTGAGCACCGTGCCGCTCAGTATCTGAGGTCAGACCCTGGTGATACCCCAGGGGCGGAGGGTCCCCGCAGGAGCCACTAGGTGGTGGGGCATGTGAGTGGCCAGGACAGAGGCTGCAGGTGGGGGAGGCGGGCTGGTGTGCTGTGGGGCCTGGGGCAGAGACGGGCAGTGGGTTTGGGGTGTCCTTGGAGCCCCCTGGGTGGGGACGATGGGAGAGATGATGGGCACAGGAGAGGCGAGCAAACGGGGAGGACGGTGTTCCCCAAGGCGGGGCCCGGGGGCAAACCCCGGGAGCTCGTCTGAAACACTGGCTCTCTCGGGCAGGCCCCCGCCGGCTGAGGACAAGTCCGTGGGGCTCTGGCCCAAGCCCACGGGGGTGACTTCGGCAGCCCCGAGTCCATGAGGTCCGGGGTGGGGCGAGCTCTGTGGGGCAGCAAGCTCAGCTCTGGAGTGTGAGCTGGGGGTGACAAGACACGGGCCCCAGTGGATGGCAGAGGGGGGCTCGAGGAGCGGGCAGAGGGCAGAAGGGAGGGGGCGGCAGCCAGGGCTCCAGAGCCGGGGTCCAAGGGATTGTCGGCGTAGACACTGGGACCACCAAAAGCTGAGGAGCGGACTGGCACCGGAGAGGGGGCCGTGGGGCCCAGACCGAAGCCTTCGAGGACGAGGGGCGGCAGGTGGCCCGTGGGTGCTGGATAGTGTGTGAGGTCCACCCTGGTGGCAGGAGGAGCAGACGCCACCCCTCAGGGCCCCTCGCGTTCTTCCCTGAATTTTTCTTCCGCCACCATTTTAGGAGTGTTTACCGTCTGTTTGCACTCCCAGACCAGAGTCCTGTCCTAGCACTTTCCCTGTCCTGTTGTGGTCATCACTCAAGGTGCATCGTCCCCGTGTGCTCTGTGGGTTCTCACCTGAGCGCCTATTAGTGAAACTCTTTCCTGCCGGTGGCGGCCCCCCGCGTGCCTGCCGAGCGGTCACAGAGCAATGGTGCTTCTCCTCCCGCGAGGGTGTCGCCAGGACCCACCAGCAGATGTGGAGGCACGCGATGTCCCAGCCCAGGTGCGGGAGGGTGCCGATGGTAGCCCTGGGCCCTCATAGGCCTCCTTTCTCACAGACCCCCCTCCTTTCCCGGGTGTCTGTAGAGGGAGACTTGCCAGGTCTCCTGAGTTCCCACAAACGTTTGAGGGGAAAGTGCATTTCACGTTTGGTGAACATGCCAACTTGCTCAAGTACAGTCGTTTTAAACTTAGGTTCAGACTAAGTAGATGTTTGCTCTGCGTGTCCTGGGAAAGCATCATCCACACATGGATGATGCAAAAGGACTGAGGCCCGTGTCCCGGCTCTGCACCCTGCTTCCTGCCCACGGCTCTGTGGATGAGCCCCCTGGCCTGGGGGCTGCTGGGGGCTGCTGAGCTCAGCAGAGGCATCTGTATGGGAGAGGGCACGCGGACAGGACGCGGGTGACTCTCCGAGCTCCAGACCTGAGCAATGCTCTCCAAGGAGAGAGTTCTGGCCCAGGCCAGCCCCAGGCTGCTCTCAGGGCAGAGACGTGGGAAGGGCCATGGGGCCAACAGCAGAGGGGGTCTGCGCCTCCCTGCTGACTTCCCCTCCGCTATTGCTTAGTCACTGGCAGGGGGTAGCGTGTGACCCAGGTTTGGTCAGCAGAACCCTGGGGAGGTCCCCGAGGGCTGCTGGAAGGCCCCCTCTCTCCAGGGAAGATGCCAGAGCACAGCAAGGACCTGCCTGGCCCTCAGTGGCGAAGCTGCCATCCGCGAGGCCCGCAGACCCCGTGGGGCCTTGGCTTCTTCAGGGCTGCACCTACCTTGGCACCTGGGCCAGGTGAGCGTCGCCTCCATTGTAGTCCCAGGGATGGTACAGGGCCATCTCCGCTTCAAGCCCCACTCCAAGCCATGGGCTGAGAGGCTCCCAGCGGCGGGAGCGGGGGAGGCTTGGCTGTGTTGGGTAGGTCAGGCAAGCCCCCCGCACGACCGTCCAGCTTCCTGGGGGCCCCCGGAAGCTGACAGCCCTCCAGCTGCACTACTGGTCCCTTCAGCCGCTCTTCTGAGCCTTCTCATGGGAGGGGACAGAGCCAGCTGCCAGCTGCCGCTGCACCAGCAATGGGCAGTGGCCATCTCAGAAGGACATGCCCACTCGCTCCCCTTCTGCCGGCCACCACAGAAGATTCCCACTGTGAAGGGCAGCTGGACGACCCCAGTGGAAGGGGCTGGCCCCACAGTTGACCATGGGGTGGATCTGGGGGCTCCAGGGGCCATCCTGCTGAGAAGGGGTCTGTGTGGCCTCCTGGGGCCCTCTTGGGCATCCTTCTGTCTGGCAGTGCAGCCAGACCTGGCCTCCCATCACCCCATCACAGGAAGGAAGGTGGCTCTTTTGGAAAAGGCTTCGTTCTCCGTGGCTGCTGGTCAGTGGGCATTCAGCCCAGGGCTGGAGGGTCTCTCTTGGGCAGGATTCCTCCTTCCAGCCCCCTGCCCTGGGCCATGGCTGGGTGCACACCCTCTGCCCGGCTGATGGCCGGGGGTCGGGCAGGTGGGGACTGCCCAGGGGAGAAAGGAGACAGGTGTTTACCTGAGCTCACCTTCCAAGGGGAAGGGCTGGCTGGCCGGTATGTAGGAGCTGCAGGTCCCAGCCACGCGGGCTCCCGACTCTGCTCGGTGAGCCTCTCAGAGCTGCTCTTCGGAGCCCTGAATGGGAACTGTACATGCGCACACGTCAGGACCAGACGAGAGCAGCCTCCTTCTGGATCTTTCCTTTCACGAGCAAGAAGGTGGTGGTGGTTCGGCCTCAGGTGTCTTTTCACAAGTTCCTGGAAGGCACGGGGCAGCTGGTGGAGATGGGACAGCAGCCCCGTGGCCCCCTGAGACACCTGTGTGGCCTCTGCCCCCCTGTCCCAGGGGGTGGCAGCCTCACAGTGTCGGAGGCTCAGGGTGCTCCCGTCGCTCCCCACAGGGTGGCCTTGGGCGTCAGGGTGTCTGTTTCCTGAGCTCGCAGCCCGGACCCTGCAGCTCTGCCCTGAGGGAGAAGCGTCTGGGGCTCCAAGCGGGTCCGTAACTGCAGGGTGTTTCGGGGAACAGCAGAGTCAGACAGAGGGCAGCCAGGGCCGGCCACACACGGGGAGTGGCACTCGGACGACACCCCACTCCCTCCAGGTAGGGGTCTTTCTCCTTTTCGCTCCCACCTGTTTCCAAATTCTCTGTAGTGCAAGAGGTGGAAAAGTCAATCAGAGGCGGTTTTCCCTCTTTTTTCTGTTTCCCGTTGCTTGCTGGGCCCCGCGACCACATCACTGCGTCTGAAGGACCGCGTGTGTCCTGGGCACCACACAGGTTGTGGGGCGAGGCACAATGACTGGAGCCTCTCCGAGGGCTCCTGCCCTTGGTCAGCCTTGGGGACGAGCCCCCCATCTTCACGGGACCACGACTGTGGACAGCGGCTGCCACCCGGGATGCAGGGCACGGCGGGTCAGACCAGACCAGAGCCCCGAGGGGGGGAGGACGGCGCTGACTAGCCCCAGCTCCCTCTCTGAGCTGACCGCACTCTGGACCCCGCGGGTGCGGGAGGCTTTGCTGGAGGATTCGAGCATGACAGAACGACAGTGAGGTTCTGTCTCCACAGCCCCAGGGGAGGCCCGGCGGGGGTTCGCCGCCCTGGCCCCAGCCCCACCGGCCGTGTCCTCCCTCCCAGCACCGTGGGCTCCACGCCTGCCCGAGGCGGCCTCTGTAGCCCTTGCTGGGCGGGGGCTGGCGCCTCAGCATTGACTGTGCTCCTCGGTCTGTGGGCTTGACCCTCGGCCTCCCCACAACCACACATCTCCCTCACCTGTGCCTCTGCCCTCTAGGCCTTGCCCACCTGGCATGTCCACCATGGGCACAGGACTCCTCGGACAGGTCTGCCCTGGTACCATGACCCCAGCTGCAGCCCCCGCCCCCCAGTCCCCAGCTGAGGCTGGCTCTCTGGTCTCCCAGTGCAGTTCGAGGCTGAAGCAGCTGCAGGCCCGTGTGGTCAGGGTCCTCGCTGAGAGCCCCCCTAGTCTCGTGGAGCCGCTGGTCAGCATCCTCCAGCTGCAGGATGCCGACCAGAGCCCCTGCTGACTCACATCCACCAGCTTCACCAGGAAGGCAAGTTCAAAGAAGTGAGTGTGACCCCCACGTGGGTCGTGGGTCAGGGCTGGGAGGGAGGGGCTCGGGGACACACCTTCTGATTCTTGGGCCGTGGGCCGGGTCTGCATGTGGGGTCAGGCAAGGGCTGGGCTGAGGGGGCTCACACCCTCAGGCTGTCCACCCTGGCAGTGTCCTCCCTGTCCCTCCACTGTGGGGGGCTCCCCAGGGGTGGGGGGCTTCAGGTCTGGTGCAGAGGGTTTCAGGGACCAGCCACCCCAGGGGCCCAGCTCAGGGCTGTGCCAGATGTTGGGGTCCTGGGAGACTCTCATACTCACCAAGGTGAAAAAGAGTCATGCGAGCAGCCCCCACCCCAGGACCTGGGGTCCTTCCTCTTGAGGTGCCCACTGGGTCCTCAGGTGGGGTCAGAGGCCCAAGGACACCCTGGCTCTGGCCTGGAAGCCCTGTAGCCGAGCCGCTCACCTGAGATGCTGCTGTCCAAACTCATTCATCAGTTCCCAGAAACACTTGTGGGGGGCTAAGAGAGTCAGGGGTGTGGAGGTCCCTCTGCCCACAGTTGCCACCCCTCGGGCCTAGATCAGACAGCTGGACCTCCAAGCCCTCCCAGCCCAGAGCCTCCCAGGCCAGGGGAGCTTTTGCCAGGGAGCTCCCTCATGACCCTATGGAGTTGGAGGCCCCCTTCTCCCTCCTTCTGCCTCTGCCCAGGCCCACTCACTCACAAGGTCACTAGGCCTCTGTGTTGGCATGGCCTGGGGTTGAGCAGCCCAGTTCCCTCTGGGCCCAGCTGCTTCTAGCTGCTGCTGGCTGAGGACACCACCGCCCCCTTGTGCCCTCATGGGGGGCCTGCAGTCACACCCACACCAGGCCTGGGGACTGGCTACTTTGCTCCTGTTCCAACAGCAGGGTCTGGCCTACAGGAATAGCCCCTCCATAGCCCTGAGTGCTGTGCCTGCCACCTCCCTGGACCCATCATGAGGCCCTGCCCTGGAGTGAGGGGGCCTCACTTGGGGTGACCCAACTCCTGCTATTTGGTGCCTCACTTGGATCAGGTCCGGCCAGTGAGGGTGCCCCTGTGAGGGTCAAGTGGTCCCCAGGACCAGCCCCTCGGAAATGATGCCCATGTTTGTTTGCAGAAGTTCAGTGTAGGGCACAGATTACTGGTCATGACGGCAGAGTTCTCCAGTGTGTGCAAAATGCTTTTGGACTTGGGGCCATGCCGGGGGCAGGTCATTTGGCTCCCTTGTCCTGGGAAGGCCTGGGTCAGAAGGGGCAAATGTGGAAATGTGGGTTTAGTAGCTACAAGTCTTTGGGTTAGAGCTTGTGGGGCTCTGGAGGGCTCAGTGGGTTTGTTGAGTCTCTGCCGTGAGTAGCACTGGCTCTCACTTAAGTCCAGAATTTTCCAAGAGAAGATGGAAGCGGGCCAGGAGCACCGGGAGTGGCTTGGCTCTGCGTGAGGCAGAAGGGAACAGGGGTCTGCGGTGAGTAGGGAGGGGCGGCTCCGTGTGGGGTGGCTCTGGGCGGTTGCTGCAGGCACAGGGGTCCCTGTGGCACCTCTGGGCCCTGGAGACGTGACGATCACCACGTGGGGAGGCAGGCGGCGGAGAGGTCCTGGGGCGCCCAGCTCAGGGGCGCACTCTCACCGAGTCACAGGTCCAGTGTTCCAGGGGTATCCAGAGGCTCGCTCCTTGTTCACCTCCACCCACTGCCTCATCGGGCCCAAAGTCGAGCCTCACCGAGGGACAGCGGGGCTCATGGACCCTGCTCCCCACACCTGCGGTGGCTCAGGGCTCGGCGGTCACCGAGGCAGGATCCCAGGCCCACCCCACGGGGGGCCTCCTTCCCCGGGGGGCCAGTCCCAGCCTGGAGGCTCACTGCAAGGTAGGCCTTGCCTGGACCACCAGTCCTCGGTCCTTGGCGGTGTGGGCCCTGGGTTGGTGGCTGTCATGCCCCGGCCCAGGCTCTTGTCTCGAGGCTGGTGAAGGTGCTGAGAAACCAAGGTGACCAGGCCAGCGACAATGTGGCCGGGGCTCCGCTCCTGTGGCGCAGGGCCATTCTCCGCAGGCTGAATGAGCGGCTGGGCTTGCAAGAATGCGGGAGGCAGAAGGCGGGCTAGTGTTTCCGCGTCTTCTGTTACACCCGAGCCTTTCAAAGAGTGTCTAGGGCCGGCTGAATGCACCTCCCTCGCGCTCCAAGGCAGGAATCCCAACACAAAGGGGGCTCTTGTCCCGCACAGGCCCCTTCTGCGAAGAAAAGCCATTGTCCCCAAGCGGGGCGGCCCGGCAGGCAATGCACGCTCCAGTGCCCACCGCCGCGCCCGGCGAAAGGGACCGCATTCAGGCCTGTCCGCTCGGATTAGCAGGGACTCACGACTTAATGTGCGCCGATATTTCATGTCGAGGGCGGCGGCTGGCTCCGGGCAGGATGAATGCCCGCTTTTGTCTACTGAGTTATTTTATTTACATTTTTTAAACAGCTTATCAAGGTAAAAAGATAGCTTTGCTTCGGGGGGGTGGGGGGGAAGGCCCCTTGGCTCCAGGCCCGAGCTGAGCTGTGGAGGTGGGAGGCAGGCCGGTCCTGGGTCTGAAGCTGCTGAGTCTGGGCTTGGCTGCCTGGGCACCTGCCTGGCGCTCCTGCCCAGCGGAGTGGGCAGCCCGGGGGTCCATGGATGCTCTTCCCACGGTGGCCACCCGGCCCCTCCCCAAAGGCAGCAGCTCTGGCACCTGTCTGGCCAGAGGGGTCCCCAGCCTCGCTCTGACCCAGCTGCTGGGCAGCCCAGTGCCTCCCTTCTCAGTGGCCTCCATGCAGAGGCCAGGAAGGCCAGGGAGGTGCCAGGGAGGCCCATTCCTCGGCAATTTCCTTTTGTGGGGTCTGAGCCCCTCCCACCTTCCCTGCCCATCACAGATGCCTGAGTCGGCAGGTGATCTTCCTACACCTGCTGGGTCCCTCATGTGACCAGGCAGCGGGCAGCTTGGTCTGCTGTCACCTCAGCAGAAGCTCAGGCAGAAAAATGACCAGAGACGGATCCTAAGCCAGGCCTGATAACAGGGGTAGAACTACATGGAGCTCCCCCGACCCAAGATCAAAGCCAAGCCAAGGGTTCTGCTGTCAGCCATCCCCCCAGGGCACCCTCCCTGGCTGCCCCCTTCCTGCCCACCACACCCTGGGCTATAGGTGCCGAATGAAGGCACCTCCCGAACTGTCCGCAGGGGTGCCTGTGGTCATCCAGCTCTGGGCACACTGGCCACGCATGCAGGCCGCAGGACCGAGAGAGGTCACCCTGAGTGCTGGCTGGATGGAAAGCTGGTTGCTCTGGACGGACCAGGGAGGGGAGAGGGGCCATGCTGAGCACGTGCTGACCCCTGTTACGACACAGTCACTGTGTGGCCAGGTGGGGTGTGCTGAGGCCCAAGCTGCCCGCCTGGGGTAGAGAGGGCTGGCCCCAAGCACGGCCGGTGCCTCCACACCAGCCCCCACTGACTGACCAGGGCCCTGAGGGCTGGGACTGGCACTGAGGACTACCCTGGGCCTCGGTAGCTCCTTAAGGGAGAGGCAGTCCCCGTGGGCAGAGGGGCAGGACCCTCAGGGAGGCTGGTGACTGGGGTGCCGGCCGCCCTCTGTGGCAGAGCCTCTCCTGCTGCTGTGAGGGGCAGTGCCCACCGTGCCCCCTTCCACCCAGGCCACCATTGCAGACTACCCCACACCCCAGGATTCAGAGGGGTTGTTGGGTGGGGGGGGGCCAAGATTCCCCCACAGCCCACTGAGGGCTGGGGCCTAAAGCACAGATGAAGTCTTGTCCTTAGGGGGGCAGAGGTAGCAGCTGGTAGAGGCTGATACCCCAGCAGAGGTGGTGAGGCGAGGGGGAGGCCCAGCCCCCCCCGGGGCCTCTCTGCCCCCTCCTCCTCCCCCCTTGCCTTGTGGCTCCCCCGCTTCATCTCTCCCCGGGTCACTGGCCCACGGCCTGGTCTGAAGGGTGGGAGGGTCCCGAGCCCCCAGGTATCCCTCCCACAGCCCCTTCCCAATGGTGGCCTGGCCTGACCAAGCCCAGCTCCGGGTGTTGACCCTGGAGGAGCCAGGAAGCTAACCGGACATGGCAGATGCAGGACACAAGCAGTACGGTTCAACCACCCCAGTCTCCCTTCCTGGATGGGGGCCCTTCCTGGATGGGGGCCTGGTGCTCCCTTGGCTTCTCAGGGGGTCTCCCATCCTGAAACGATAAGGTCCTCCCTCCTCCAGCCCTGGCCCCTCCCCAGGCCCTGCCCCTCTGCACCATCCCCCGGGCCCCCGCGGGGCCTGGCAGCGGCCGAGCTCCTGGACCTTGGCCAGGCTGTGGAGGCGCCGGGTCAGCGCCGCGCAGGGAAAGGCCCCTGGCCCTGCGCCCCCGCCCCGCGCGATCCGGCCCGGAGGCCTGAGCGAGCCTTTCCCAGGCCTCTATTTTGGTCCTTTGTGTGAGCTGCGTGGGGCGGGGCGCCCGGCTGCTCCCCCGGTTATTTTTGCTCATAATGGGAGCGCGATGTATGGAAATTATTAATAGTAGCCGGGCCTGCGCTACGTGCGGGCACTCAGGGCCCCGGGCGCTCTCTCTGCTGAGTCGCAGGAGGGTCCCTGTGGCCGTGAGCAAGGGCCGTGTGGGGGTCAGGGCTCTTGGCCGCGCCCACTTCCCCACTCCTAGGACCGCTGCGCTCCCCGCCTCACCAGGACGCAGCTGGGTTCAGAGCCTCTTTCTCTGTGGACCAAAGGGGCAGCGCTGTGCATCCCCCAACATACAGACCCCACCACTCCCCCTGGGGCCAGCCCACCCTTTTGGACAGACAGCTCTGCACTCATTAGTCGTTTTGGGGTGCACACAGAACATGCCTTGTGGAAAGTGCTCAGAGGCCCCTGCAGCTCAGAGCCACGGTCCCTCAGGCCCCCAGGGTGCATAGCCCTGGCCCCTGGCTGTGCGCACCATGACTGGCCATGCCCGGCACTTGCCGGTGGAGGGCACACTTCTGGGCGGTATGCGGCAGGTGAGAGCAGGTGTGGGGAAATCACAGTGTGCCATTGTCTGGGGGTAGGTGACGGAGCTCCTGCCTCTTGTCTGCCCCCTTCTTGGTCCTCTGTCCGCTCATCGGCAACCCCTGACCAGAGCCACCTGGGCCCAGCACCCACCCTGATGCCCATCCAGGCCACACCCCAGCCTGGCAAGACCCACCTGCCCGGGGCACTCCCACCTGCCCCGCCTGCTGTGGAGCCTGGCTCGTCTGCCTGGAGGCTTCTGGATCCCAGGCCACTGGACCTGTGCCTTCAGTGACTGGGAGGTGTAGAGGGGTGGGAGCGCCCCCCATGGGCTGCCTGCTCCCCGCCAGGCCGGGTGTACCCTGCTGCACTTGTGATCGGCAGGCCGTTACGCTGGGCTTGAAGATGAAGCTGCGGCTCGAACTTGATGTCGAAAAGTAAGTGTCGGGCGCCTGGGTGGCTCAGTCGTTCGTTAAGTGTCTGCTTCAGCTCAGGTCATGATCCCAGGGTTCCCTGCTCTGCGGGAAGCCTGCTTCTCCCTCTCCCGCTCCCCCTGCTTGTGTTCTCTCTCTCTCTCTCTGTCAAATAAATAAATAAAATCTTAAAAAAAAAAAAAAAAGGTAAGTATCTTTTCACGAAAATCGTTTAAGTTCCAACTTGGATAAAGCCTGAGTCTCCAGAAACATGATTTGGGGAGGGGGGTTCTTCTACCACTGAGCCCTGGCTTTGCTCCTCACTGGGTGGGGCTGGGGGTGCTGGAGGGCAGGGGTCACGTGTGAGCACCCGACCCTGCAAGGTGGGCCCGAGGGGGTGGGGCCCAGGAGGGCAGTCCCTGGACTTAGGTGTAACATGCTCAGAAGGCAGTGGCCAGGGGGTCTCTGAGGAATGGGTCTCCCCGTGAGGTCCACCCCTTGAGGTCCCAACCTGGCAGATGGGTCCCTGTTCAGTCTGGGCTCCAGGCAGCCTGACCCTATGTGGTCACATGGAGAGGTGAGAAGGTGTCTACCGTTGGGACCACTGGCAGGGGGCTTTGTTGAGGTCTGAGCTCTTGCGGTGGAAATGGCCTGAGTGTCCCAAGGCCCAGGGCCACGGCCAGGGGCCTCCTTAGAGCTTCCTGGCGGGCTTGGGCAGCTCGGGGCTCTTGTGGGCACCATGCACAGGCATGCCACCTGTGCCAATGAGGAGGCATTTGGGCCATCAGGGTTGCTGCCCATAGTTGCTCTTCATCCTGCCTCCCACCACAGCTCAGTGAAGACAAGGGGACAGCTGATCTTCCCCAGGACTCCCCTTGCCTCTGGGAGCCTCCAGTCCTTTGTAATGAAGATGGGGATGACCACAGAGCCCCGGGACCAGGCCCAGGGAGCAGTGGGGCCTGCATGTGTTTGTGTGTGTGTGTGTGTGTGTGTGTGTGTGTAGGCGTGCAAGCACAGGGCATAGGCTGCAATGAGCGCACCATGCCCTGGGAGCTGGTCTGCGGGTGTTTCACGGATGTAGTCAGACACTTGGCTGGGCGTCTGCACTCCCTGAGGGAACCAGGTCCCATGGAGGGGCCTCCGGTCCTCTCAGTCCGGAGGCTCTGGCCACGCCTCCTCTGGGTTGGGGGTGAGTCTGGGGTCTTGGCTGGGGGTGGAGGTGCCAGGCGCCTGCAAGGCTGTGACCAAGGATGTGCTCCCCATAGAGGGGCACCCACTGCCCCTCCAGGACAAGGCGACCCTCGTAGAGCGTTATGTAGCCGGCTTCCCGGACCTCCAAAGGAGGTTGCTGGCCCTCCTGGACTCCTGGTGCCAGCCCGGCTTTGACGTCAGAGTCGTGGCCAGGTAAGCCCCACGGGGGCCCAGGGTGGGGCAGGGGGCGGCATGCACTCGGGAAAGCCACGTGAGTGGCCCGCACACGCCGCGGCTCGGTCAGCCAGAGAGGGACCTGCTTCTGGAGCCCAGAGGCTGCACCTGGCAGGAACCAGACGAGACACAGTTGAGTCTCTTAAACGAACAAAAATAATTCTCCAGGTTGCGTGAACAATTTACTACACGCTGGAAGTCACAGCACCTGTCCATTCACTCATCCCTTCACCTCATAAATCTCATCTGTGACACCCGTGGAGCCCATGGGGGTTCATTTAAGCTGCACACGCACATGATGCGAGGGTGTCGCCCAAGTGTGGGGCATGGGGGTGGCATCTGCTGGTCACATATCTGGGGCGGCCACGGGGTGAAGAGGCACTTGGCTGTCTGTGGAGGCTCCTCGAGCCTCCCGTCCCCATCTGCAGGCCCTGGGGGCTTGATCCAGCGCCATGAGCCACGCAGGCCTGAGACCACCCCCTTGAGATGCAGACCTTGGGCTCTGGGGCCGACCTCCCTGGACCCACCTCCTCTGAAGCAAGTCACTTTCATTTCCTGGGTTTATTTCCTCAGCCCTAACATGGGGCTAATTTTGCCTGTCTCAATGGGTTGTGTGACTTAACATGCTACGAAGCAGACAAAGCACGCGGGGCACCCAGCCAGGCACACCGAGCGTTGGCTGTCATCACTGTTACTATATATTTGGAGAGGGACATAGAGCGGCACCTGACTGGCTCAGTTGGTAGCATGAGGCTATTGATCTTAGGGTCTTGGGTTCGAGCCCCATGTTGGGTGTGGAGATTACTTAAAGTATTTTTTTTTAAAGATTTTATTTATTTATTTATTTATTTGACAGAGAGAGACTCAGCAAGAGAGGGAACACAAGCAGGGGGAGCAGAGGCAGAGGGAGAAGCAGGCTCCCCGCTGAGCAGGGAGCCCGATGCGGGGCTTGATCCCAGGACCCTGGATCATGACCTGAGCCGAAGGCAGACGCTTAACACACCTGAGCCACCCAGGCGCCCCTACTTAAAGTATTTGTAAAAATGAGAAGACAAGGGGCGCCTGGGTGGCTCAGTCAGTTACTCATCTGCCTTCGGCTCAGGTCATGATCTCGGGGTCCTGGGATCCAGCCCTGCATCAGGCTCCCTGCTTCGCGGGGAGCCGGCTCTCCCTCTGTCTGCTGCTCCCCCTGCTTGTGTCCTCACTCACTCTCTCTCTCTGACAAATAAATAAATATTTTTAAAAAATCGAGAAGACCAGGTTAGAATGGGAGAAAATATTTGCAAAAGACGCAGTGGCTTCCTTCATAATGGCTAACATGGAAAAGTCTGGCATACCAGACGTTAGTGAGGTAGGAACTCCTGTGCCTGGCCACTCGAGGAAGCTGTTCAGCGCTGCTGGCCCCAGCAAAACATGGGCTAGGAATGCCTCAGCCAGTCCACCGTTGGAGCAAACCCAGGACACATGGGTGCGTGGTCTGTGAAGAGACTAGTATGTTCACAGCAGCCTTATTCCTAGTCCCCAAGCACTGGACGGATCCAGAGGCCAGTCCACAGCCACAGCTGGACCACACACGTTACACACATAATGTGGAGGAATGTCCCAGAGCCCACACTATGTGAGATGGCCCAGACCCAAGCGTCTGGACTCCATGATTCCAACGGTAGGACGTTCAAACCCTGGCACGTGGTCTCTGCTGGTCCGAAGCGTGGCTGAGGGGGGCAGGGGCAGCTCGAGGGCTGCACATCCGTGTTGTCCTGTGGGTGGCAGGTCCTCAGGTGCAAGTACACCCATGATCCCCACTCCTCACCGCGTGTCAGTGACACCTCGATAAACACTGGGTTCTAAAAAGCGCTTCTGGCAGAGAGACAGAAGCACTCATTATTGTCTCTGCTTTAAAATGGAGAAGACATTTGAAGAGAATGAGAGACAGGCAGTGACTGGGTGCAGGTGGTCAGGCAGCAGGCGGGGAAGCTGAGCCCGCGGCCACCAGGAGCACGTGGGGTCCAGCCCAGAGCCCGAGGAGGGCCCAGGAGCTGAGGCCCAGACTCCTTGGTGGTCAGCCAGACACCGGGGACCCTGGGCCGTGGCGTCCGGGCTTGGCTGAGGACCGGGCTGAGGCTCTGTGCCACAGTCAGGGAAGCTTTCAGAACACAGAACAGGACTCTTGTCAACAAAAATATGATGGCAAAGCAAAAAGCTCAGCAGAGGTTTGGAGGATAAATTTGAAGATGTCTTCCAAAAAGTACAAAACAGATAAACAATGAAAATCAGAGAGAAAAGATTAAAAGAAAAATTGGAGGTCCTGTCAAGAAGGCCCAACATCCGAACAATGGGAACCCCAGAAAGACGAGCAGACAGAGCTCATTCCCGAGGTGGCTGCGTCGGGTGTAGTAGGTCTGCGGGCGGCCAGAGTGCATGAGACCCACACTGCAGACCCAGGGCAGCACGGGGATCAGACGGGATTCTGGGAGCATCGCCTGCCCTGTGCTGAGGGATAGCTACTTCAACCCCAAAGCCTCAGCTCAGCCGAACCCTCAAGACAGTGTGAGGCAGAGCACAAACCTACTTCTGCAGGTGTGCTGGGAGCGGGCAGCAGCCGGGGGGCAGCGAGGAGGCCCGCTCACCTCCTCATTGGCTCAGGGCAAGGCTGGTCGGGTCCTCAGGTCTGGAAACCAAGGAGGCAATAAAACCAGACAAGCACTAACCCTGAAGAGAAGGGGTGTGGTCTGCACCAGTGCGCTTGCCTGGTCGTGAGAGCACGAACACAGTGTGACCTGACTTAAGTGGGAACGCGGCGCACCATCCACGGCAAGATGTCCGTACCAAACACCTAAGACTGAACAACCAAGAGGTCACGCACAAGTGTGTTCCTTGGAAACACAGAGGCAAATACTGGCCGTGACAGAATTGATGTGTGAGGGTCTGGAGCGTGCTGGGACACGGTGACATGCTGCTCTTTCCACAGGCTTGTAGAATTACCTGAGTTTTCAACTCTGTGCGTGTGACTTTGACGAAAATAAGTCTTACATGTATTAATTTAAAAAGAAAGCAGCACCAGGCGGGAGACGTGTCTCTCTCCCTGCAGACAGCACCCACAGGTGACCTCCTTGAGGCTGGAGAGGCTGGGTCCCAGAGTGCTAAGTCAGCAGGTCCTGAGCCTGCTGGAGCGGCAGGGCCTGGACACGGGTGAGCGGGGCCCCCACACCCTGGGTGCCCCGGGGATGCTGGGGCTGGCCAGGATCCACTGACCCCCTTCCTGAGTCACCTGCCCACCACCACGGACCCTGGGCACTGAGCAGGGGACTGAGGGCTGCAAGCCCCTCTGCCCACCTGCAGTGACCCCTGGGAGTAGGAGCCAGTGCTCCTCCCCTCCCCCTCCCCCCTCCCCGCTTCTCTCAGTTCCTGTCTTTTGTTGAATGATAGCCATTCTGATTTGCATCTCCCTGATCATTAGTGATGTCTTGGGCCATTTCAGATACCTGCTGCCCATTTGGATGTCTTTTTTGGAAAATGTCTATTCAGTTCCTCTGCCCATTTTCTTTTTTTTAAAGATTTTATTTATTTATTTGAGAGAGAGAATGAGATAGAGAGAGCATGAGAGGGGGGAGGGTCAGAGGGAGAAGCAGGCTCCCTGCCGAGCAGGAAGCCCGATGTGGGACTCGATCCCAGGACTCCAAGATCATGGCCTGAGCCGAAGGCAGTCGCTCAACCAACTGAGCCACTCAGGCGCCCCTCCTCTGCCCATTTTTAAATTAGGTTATTTGGGATTCTTTTTGGTGTTGGGTTGTATGAGTCCTTATATATTTTGAATATTCACCTTTATCAGATGTGTGGTTTGCAAATGTTTTCTCCCATAGGTCACCTTTTCATTTTGTTGTTTCTTTGTTGTGCAGAAACTAATTTGTAGTTTGAAGGAATGACCCTTGTTGATTTTTGCTTTTGTGACCTGCTTTTGGCTTTTTGGTCCTCTCTGTTGTTTGCCCTCCCCAGCCCACCAAACTAAATTTTAAGCCTTCTTTCTTCTGAAAATATTCCCCAAGTTTCAATATATATTATTTCTATTATTGTGCAGCTCAAGGTATTTTCTAATTTCTATTATAAGTTTTTCTTTACCCATGGATTAATTAGAAATGTATTTCTTAATTTCCAAGCTATGTGACATTTTTAGTTATTTTTCTGGTGTGGGCTCAATCTCACTGTGATCAGAGATCATGACTTGTATAATGTCAGTCCTTTGGGTTGAAACGTATTATGAAGAAATCTACCTTCTTGCCTCTGAAAGCAATCTTTTTTTTTCCTTTGGCTGTTTTTTAGGATAATCTCTTTGTCTTTGGTGTTCTGTGGTCTCACTGGGAGGAGACTAGTTATAGATTTCTTTGTATTTATCTTCCTTGGTATGTGTTGGGCTTTTTGAATCTGTGGATTGCTGTCTTCAGTCGGTTCTGGAAAATCCTAAGTCATGATCTCACACGTCACTTCTCCTGCTTCCTTCCGCTGTTCTCGGGGCCCCTGAATGTGTGTTGGTCTCCTCCCCCGCTTCCCAGCGTGCCCTTCATTGTGTGTCCGGGTGACTTCTGCTCTTTCCCACGCCGCTGAGCCTCTCCTCGTCTGTGCCCAAACGCGTCCATCATTTATGTTTTTACCCTTGTTGTATCTTCAGCTCTAGAAGTTGTAATGTGGTCATCTTCAGATCTGCTGTCTCACTTTGTGTGGCTTCTTGATGCTTGAACGTATTTCTGATTTTGTCTTCTCTTTCTTTGAATGTCTTGCCCACGGTTGTTTTACGGTTTGTATCCACATTTCCGCACCGTCGCTGGTCGGCATCTGTTTCTCTGTGTCACTCGGAGGCTGGGTTGTCATCGTGTTTGTGTCTGGCACCCTTGAGAAATTACACAGATTCTCTGGCCCTTGGATGAAGGTGCCTGCCTCCAGAAAGGAGGGCAATATTTGGGGCTTTTGCAAAGACAGAAGTACATCACCAAGAGGCTTTGGTTCATGACTTTAAATAGCCCCTCGGGCGGCACTAGGAGCACAGATGGGAAAAGCAAGAAGGTATGTGGACGCCTGCAGGCTGGTGCCGGGGCAAGTCAGGGTCAGCGAGGGGCAAGGAGCCGCTCACAGTGGCTGGGGGCTCCACCTGAAGCCTGTGGGCCTGGTCTTAGAGGACCGGCCGACTGGTGGGACCCCTGGCACCCCGGGGAAGCAGCTATAGGAAGGAGCCTCCAGCAGCTGCAGAGTAAAACCTAGAGTGGAGTGTTAGGGGCAGAAGCTCCGAGGAGGGTCCCAGCAGCAAAGACCTCTGGGGTGCCAGGGTCTGAGGGACAGGGGGGCATAGAGCGTGGGTCACCTGCCCCTGCATTTGGAGAACTAGAGCACTGGGTTGACACTAAGGAGTGGACCCCCCCATGGGGACCCCCATCCCTGGCACAGGGGCCTCTGAGGTCACCTGCATGCCATCCATGGGTGCTGGGTGGGGGAGCCCTGCGGGCATCACCCAGTGGGAACGTGGGGCAGGCACACAGCTCAGGCTGCCTGCAGGTGAGGCCCCCGGGGGCTCTCAGCACAGAATCACGCACCGAGTCCATGGTGGCCACTGTGAGGCTACATCTGCCTCCCTGGCAGAGGCTCTCCCCACCCAGGACTCCGGACCGTGAGGGGCAGGCTGTGTGGAGGTCTGAGGTTGCGGGCTCTGGGTGGGGCCGTCTTTCCTTCCAGCAGCCCTGCCGTGCCATTTGTTGACCCCCAGGGTCCCCACTTCAGGGTCAGGTCGTGGGCCCAGGGCTTGGGGCCAGAGGAGTCTTTGGGGGTGTTGGGCCAGCCTTAGCCCAGCACCCCCAGTTCAGGGTGTGTCCGCCTTGAGGGTCCACCCCACCCCACAGATCTCAGCTGAGTGTGAGGCAGGAGCAGATCTGGTGTCCAGACCCCCTTGAACAATGGGGTCGTCCCCCAGACTGCGTGTGGTCTGACGGGCTGTGGGACAGGAGGGGAGAGGCAGGTGCTTTCTAGGGGTGCCTAGCTCACTGGCCCCGCCTGGGAGCGGGGAGGACAGCCACCCAGCCGGGTCTCCCGTTCTGCATGGCCATGTGCTGCCAGGCCCCACCTGCAGCCTCCCCAGCTGGCTCCAGGGGTGTGTCTTGGCCAGGAGGCCTCAGGGTCACAGCACTGTGCCTTTGCCCGTCTGCAGTCCTCACTGTGCATCCACCATCCCCTCTGTGGGCCTCCACGGACTGACATTAGGCCCAGAAGTAGGGCTGGGGAGTTCTGCTTGCCTGTCCACCCTGAGCTCCCCACAAGCCCTGCCCCCAGGCCTGGGTCCCAGGTGGAGCCCCCCAGGGCCTCGTAGCACAAATGAGTCTGCAGGACGCTGGGTTGTGTGGCATTTCCAGATGTTCAGCGTGTGTCAGGTGGTCGGGCCTGCTCTACCCGGGCCTTTTCCTTTAAGGATTTGCACTCTGGTCTGCCCAGGGCTGAGCTCCACCTGTGGGGGTGAGGCTTTTGGACAAAGTATCCCACTGGCAAAGTGACGCTTCAAAGTGTAGAAACGCCCGAGAAGCAGGTTTCTGCCTGCAGCTCTGCGTGGGAATGGTGCTCCGAGAACACGCTGGCCACTCTGAGCTCCTTCTTACCGGCGTGGCTCGCCGGTTCGTCCCTCCCTTCCTCAGGCTCTGTCCCCCTCGCCTGCCGTGTTGTCCCAGATTCCTTAGCGGCCTCCTGGGGTCCGGAGCCCTCAGGTCCCAGGCAGGAAGGAGGAGGGAGAGTGCCCCAGAGTCGCTGGCCAACCTCTGGGCAGCACTGACCTCCGCTGTGGGTGGACAGCGGCCCTGCAACAAGCGCGCTCCCCGGTGCTGGGTGCGGGTGCTCAAGGAGCAGCCGCCCGTGTGGAGAGCGCAGGGTCCTGGCCAGGTCCTTAGAAGACCGGGCCCCTAAATGCCCCAGCCGCACCGCCAGGCTTCAAGGACAGCTGGCCCCAGGAGGGAGGGGCAGCAACCAGATGGCTGGACGGGTGGACGGGTGGGTGCCCTTCCTGGGAGCGAGGCCGATGAGTAAGCATCAGTCTGTCAACATGAGCAAGATGGCCTCTTCCTGAAGGATTCGCATTCCAGTGGGAGAGGGACAGGAAGCAAAGGCACCGTCCGGAGGGTCCCGCCCTGGAGAATGTGGAAAGGCATCTGGGGAGATGGGGCTGGTGTCCCTTGTCCCCGGTGCAGAGGGAGGGGCTCCGGCAGACCCCAAGAGAGGCTCGAGGCTGGGGGAGAGTGTGGGGTGGAGCCCTTGCCCCACCCTGGGCTCCGCTGTCTTTCAGCAGCGCTGTGTCCCCATGCTGTCACTCAGCAGCGCCTGGCCACCCTGCACTGTCTGTGCTGTAAGCGGTTTGTGGAGGTAAGTGTGCCCTGCTTAGAGCCCCGAGCCCGGGGCTGTGGCGGGGGAGGGGTGCTCCAGGTGAGGCTGTCTCTCCAGCCTCTAGAGTGGTCGCTAGAAAAGGTCCCTTGGTGCTCGCTTTTGCAGAGAAGCCTGTCTCGGGAGAACTGGACTGACCACGTGCAGGTGAGTCTGCAGGGCCCTGCATGCTGTGGCTGTTCCCTGGAGACCTGGGTGAGGACCTAGGGGGATGAGTGGCCCTGAGTGGCGTGCACACATATGGACTGGCCACGTGGTGCGTAGCTCACGTGTGCATGCCGTGGCCCAGACAGCTTTCACGTTGGCCCACAAGCTGGGTCAGCTCCTCTGGTGTCCCTGGCATGTTTGGGAGCAGATGGTGTAGAGAAAGGGCTTCTCCCGGCATAAATGCCGCACCTTGATGAGGAACCAGACACAGAGCCTCAGGTCTGCCCACCCCGCTCAGAAGGTACAAGAGGCAGATGCTGAGGGTAGGCTTTGTGTGAGGGCCCCACCCGGGTGAGGCAGGGCCAGAGCAACTGGGGGGCCTGGACCCTCCTTCAGCCCTTAGTGTACAGAGCCCCCAGGCGATGGAGGAGGTGAGGTGTGCTGGAGGTTCCACAGTGTTCACCAAGGGAATATTCTAGACCGTCTCTGAGCACGGTCCTCACCCATGGCTCCGTGCCCCCTGAGGCCAGGTGGGGGGTGAGCCCAGGCCCCTAGAAGGAGGCAGCTGCCCCTCGGGGTGGTGCAGGGTCATAGAGGGGGTTGAACTTCAGGGCCACTCCTGGGCCTGGGGGCTGCAGAGCCCATCAGGACGGCAGCTTGGACAGGACCACCTAGTAGCTTCTGTCCCTCAGGCCTGAGCTGGAGGTGTGGCTCATGGTGGGCACAGAGCTGTCCCCAGCCGTGCGTGAAGCAGCCTGGGAAGAAGGTGGGGGGGTGTGGGGTCCCAGGTGCAACATGCATGGAGCTGTGGGCCACTTCGTGGAGTGGGGGGCCCTTCCCTCCCTGATGAATAGTCTGGCTTCTGGTGTCCTGAGTGGCATCCAGCGGGGGGCAGCGCTGAGCCACCCCTGGAGTGATGGGTGTGTGGGGTGGGTGGTGAGTCACCGGAGAGGAACGTGGACCCCCAGGGAAGGCCCGGAAGGCTGGTCCCCCCTGGGTGCCAAGGCTGAGGCAGCCGGAAGGGCAGCGGACATCCTGAAGAATGTGGAGGGGCTTCCACATATTGTCGTCCACGTGGGAACCCGCGGTCTGCGGGAAGCGGATGGCCTGAGGCTACTGGGGGGACAGAGTCGTCTGGGAGGGGGCCCTGCCTGTCAGCCAGCAGGGGCTCCTCAGAGCGCACAGAGGCCTCAGGGGCCAGAGATCAGGGGGGCGAGAGGCTCAGACTCCCGGCCCACCCGAGTTACAACAGCCTGTGACCTTATGGACCCAAGGACTCAGCCAGGACAGAAATCCTCCTGTGGGACCCTGGTGGTGCAGGTGGCTGGGCCCTGCTGTGGGTGTCCTGAAGCTGAGCTGACGGGTGGGCCACCTGTGGGCCCCGTGGGTCCCCCCACTCCTGTGCTGGGCACTGGTGTGGGAGACAGCCTCGTGAGGCCCCCCCACGTTCATTGCCACCCCGAGGGCTGCTTGCCTGTGTCCACTCTCTGGACTGTGGATTCAGGAGTGTCCCATGGCCCCACCTTCCCCCGAGAATGCTGGCCGGCCGCGAGGGCGGGGGCGAGGAGACCTGAGGGGCAGCCCGAGGGTCAAGAGCAGGCCCCAGCACGCAAGGGTGGAGAAGGAGCAGGGTCAGGCAAAGTTCTAGAAAGACAGGGCTGGTCTCGGGTCTGGGGGGCAGGGCCGCCGGGCTGGGCTGTGGACACAGGACAGTGGCCCTCCAACCGGACCATGTGGAGGGCCCTCGCTCGACAGCGCGGTCAGCACAAAGCCTCGGTCGTGGGAGCATCTGTGGCCTTCCTTCAGGGAACAGCCTCCCGTTCTGGGGCTTGCGAGGTCTGGGGGGGAGGTGCGGGCCCGGGGAACTGTCCACACCCCCTCGGGGCAGAACCGGGCTGCACAGCCCATCCTGTGTGCCCCGCAGGGCCTGTGGGCCAGCACGAGTGGTTGCGGGAGGGGCTGGCCTCTCCTGACAACGAGGCCGTGGCCGCCCGAGGCGCCCTGGACCTCTCGCTGCCCGAGGAGCAGCTGCCAGCCACGCACAGCTCCGCCAGCTCAAACTCCAGGAGCGGCGAGCGCCCAGGCTCGGGAGGCTGGCGAGGGGGACAGGCGCTTGGGCCCCCGTCCCTTGGCAAGCGGCCCCATGAGTGATGTATGTCAGCAGTTCGGGCAAGGTGGAGTGAGCAGCAAGGCCCCTGCAGACGCCAGCCCACCAAGCACCCTCAGAGCTCCCTAGCCTCTCAGAGGTCTTCGTGGGGCCAGGCCAGGCCGGAAAGTGTTGGGCTGGGGGAGGGCACCAGGGACCCAGGGTGTGGGGGTGCCACAGCTCCACTCCTAGGACAGCTGAGGTGCCTTTCCAAGACCGGAGGGATGATTACTACCAGCTGCCCATCGCCAGGGAGGACATCCTCTCCCTGGACTCCTGGGACCTGGCCAGGCAGGAGGAGGAGCTCCTGCAGGTGGGTGGCTGGCTCCAGGGGCTCTGTCCACACCAGGACCCACCGGGCTTGGCTCTCCATCCCACGCCCCCGCAGAGCAGGGCACCCATACCAGCCCATTTTGAAGACTCCGGGCCTAAAGTGCAAGCATCGGGCACCTGCCCACAGGCATTTGGCCCTGGCCCCCCACCTGCGGCAGCGCCACACCTGTGCTATGGCTGGGCTCTGGGCCCGAGGAGGCCAGAAGGAGTCCTTTGACCCCTTCTATGTGGAACAAGGGGCAGGCAGGGCCCAGGCGCAGCCCCAGTCCTATAGGAGCCCACAGGACTGGTCAGGTGCCCCCAATAGAAACTGCCTCCCCTCGGCTTCACCCTCAGGGGAGTCAGGGAGGCCATGCCCTCGGCCACAGGCCTGCAGCCCCTGGATGGGCCTCCCTGCTCATCCCAGCTCTCTACAGCCCGGCCAGGTGGTCGGTGTGGACCTGGAGTGGCGACCCTCGTTTGGCACAGGGGCCCGGTCCCAGACATCCATCATGCAGGTGGCGGTGGAGGGCCGTGTGTTCCTGCTGGACCTGCCTGTGCTCCCACGGCCGACAGGAGGGCAGGTGTCCCAGGCCTTCTCCAGGCTGGTGTCCCAGCTGCTCTCGGGCCCCTCTATCACTAAGTTGGGTGAGCACAGCCCCTGCCCACCCAGGGGGAGGGTCCTGGGGCGAGGTCAGGGCCCCTGCCTCAGGTGCCTGTCACACTGATGGCCCTCCCTGCAGGTTATGGGATGGCAGGGGACCTTCAGAGCCTGGGGGCTTCCTGCCCCGCCCTGGCTCACGTGGAGAAGCAGCTGCAGGGCGGTCTAGACCTGCTGCAGGTGCAAAGGCAGGTCAGCTCCAGGGGGACGGGGACGGGGCCCCTCCCTTCTCTGCTGAGCCGCCTGCACAGTGATGCCCCCTGCCAGCCGGGGTCCTTCACCACAGGCTGACTGGTGTCTATGGGTCAGGATGTGCTCATGGCCTTGGAGCACCTTTGGGTTACTCAGGTCACCAGGGCCCCGCAGGGAGGGGGTGTCACCACGTGTCCCCACACTTTCCCCAGAACCAGCCCTGCTTTGGGCCCCTCTGAGTTCTCAGCCACACCTTTGGGGGCTAAGATGTTAGCCCCAGAGCTGGCCTGTGGGCAGGTCACCGTGGCCCTGAGTCCCCCTGCACCTGCCTGCCTAGACCATCTGTGCCCTTCCTTCTGTGCACAGGTGGCTGTGGAGGGTGAAGGGCCTTCCCCAGGGCAGGGCACCCATGTGAGACAGTGATGGCCTGAGTGGTGGCATCCTTCCTCCAGGGCAGACCCCTCACCCCCGAGGGGCTCTGTCTTGGCAGATGCAGGTGTTGGACAAGCCAGCTCTAGGCAGGGGTGAGGCCAGGGGCTGCGGGGCCTCAGCCTCCTGGTGCAGCAGGTGCTGGGCAAGGCCCTGGACAAGGCACAGCAGCTCTCCAACTGGGACCAGCGGCCGCTGAGCGGGGGCAGCTGGTTTATGCAGGTGTGCACCCCCTCCCTTCCCCCACACCCCCGTGCCCCCCACCCTGGAGGCTGAGGCTGACCCATGCCCCCCCAGCTGCCGACGCCTACCGCCTGCTGGAGGTGTACCAGGCTCTGTGCAGAGAGCCTCCAGCTTCTACCCGTCTGAGGACCTGGCCAGGAGCCTGAGGCCAGGGTGCAGGGAGAGGCCAGGGGCCCAGGAGCCACCTAGGCTGCAGGAGGCCTCAGTCTTGGCTTGGCAGCTGAGCGAAGCCCCTCAGGGTCCCTGCACCTGAGTTCCCAGGGAGGAGGATCACTGTCCTTAAAATGAGGACCTTACAGGGGAGGAGGCCTGGGCTGGGGGAGGCCAGCAGCTTCCAAGAGGGCCCGGGTCCCGCCCCCTGGAGAGAAGGAAGCAGGGCCACAGGTTAGAGCCCTGAGGAGGAGGGGTCCCCAGCCCTCTCCTGCCAGCAGGCCTGACGTGCTCCCCACCGAGGTCCAGGGCAGTACCTGGCATGAACCGTGAGCCTGAGCCCACCCGCACCCCCACCCCGAGGGGACGTGTGGAGGCCCTGCTGGGGCCCAGTGTGAGCCATCGGGTATCACCTTGTTGATCTGTCTTTCTGTTGTTTTCTACGCTGACCACATACTGCTCCTGATTCTCTTTAAAGTTCGGCCCTCAGGGCTCTCACTCCCCATCAAGACCAGGGTGGGGGCTAGGGGGCCGCGGGCTGCTGAGCCAAGCTGTGTTGCAGGTGCCTGTGGCGGAGAAGGAGGGCGCCCCCCGAGGTCCCGGGCAGGGCCTTCCGTGTGCTGTGCGACCACAGGCTGCAAGGGCTGGGCGCGGACGTGCTTATGCTGGGCGCCGGCGAGGACACCGCAGGGCCGTCGAGGTGAGCGTGGCGGGGCTTTGTGCCCACCCTCCCGGGGCTCGGGGCCCTTCTGTCTGCCTGGGTCCAAGGACAGAGATGTTTATGGCTGCCCCGCCCCTGGGGTCTGCCGGCGGGAACCCTCTCAGCTCCTTCGGGGGTGGGCCTGCCCCCACTCTCACCCCCTTGTCCTGTAGCCCCTGGAGACACTGCACGGAAAGAGGCTCTGCTCATGGCCGTGGCAGGGCCCTGCCTGTGGGGACACCAGCCCCCGGGGCCACGAAGAAAATCTGAGTGGGGGGTCTCAGAATGCAGGGGTCTGAACGTAGATGGAAAGCTCCTCCACAGGTGTGCAGGCGGAACCACCCACAGCTCACCCGTCCGGGTCTCCCATCCACAGGCTCCCACGTCGTGTGACGCGTCCACCGCTGCTGTCGCCCCGCCCAGCCCCGGCCGTCGTGGGGACTCTCTTCTAGATGGCTGGCCTCCTTCACTCAGCGCCATGTTTTCCGGGTTCACGGTCGTTGGTGCTCCACTCCTTTTTATGACCCGAAAGCATTCCATTTGCAGGTGGACCAGAGCAGTGTCCCCCCACCCCCCACCGCGTAGGACGGTCACCAGGGCGGCTTCCAGGGACACTGCTGTGAGTGGGACAGACTGGCCCCCGTGTCATTTTTATTGTCAATATGTGGTTTCTTTTAAGCATTTGCAAACATTCTTCTGAGAAAGGGTCCCCTGGCTCACCAGATGGCTGGCCTCAGCCCGAGTCTGTGGAGCAGTGGGGTTTGTCTGGCTGCACGGGGCCCAGGCTCCCCGATCCTCCAGCACACGTGGGTGGTATTCTTCATGCCACCCCCCACTACTGAGGAAGCTGAAGCCAGAAGAATCGCGAGGACCTGCCCTGGGCTGTCCACCCCGCACCTTCCCCCCCGCCACCGGGTGCTGAGGCTGCAGGAGGGAGGGCCGGAGCTGGGAGAGAAGGGCCTCCTGTGCCGGCCCCTGGCATCCACAACAGGATGTTGGCTCTCTCCCCCATCTCTGGCCCCTCGCGGGTCCCCTCTCCCCGGGGCCGGGTCCTGGCCTCCAGGGGAGGATGTGGGTGTGCCAAGGTTGGCCCTGGCCACTGTCCCTGTACAAAACACCTGCTTCCCAACCAAGGCTGTTTTTAGCCTGTGGGGGGCTGAGACCAAGGTGGCCAGCCTGGCTTCTCGGGGACTCCAGACCAGGCCTCTTGGGTCAGGGGATTCAGGAGCCAGGGAGGAGGTGCCTTCCCACTGGGGAGTGCACAGGGTCTCCAGCCAACGAGAGGCGGGGTTGGCTCCCCTGCCCCTTACCCCCTATGTTGCACCTGTGACTTGTCACATTGCAGGACAAATAGGATTTAAAGATGTGATTTACTGATCAATTGACCTTAAAATAGAGAGATTGTTTTAAATGAGTCTCGGGTGGGCCCAGTGTCACCACGTGAGTCTGTCGAGCAGAAACAGAACGCAGCAGTCAGATTCAGAGCACAGGAAGGAGACGGTGCGCGGGTGCTGGCTGAGACCCCACGTCGAGCAGGGGCTGGAGCCTGCCCGCCCCTCGTGAGCCTGCCCTTCCCCAGAGTACAGCTGCCTGCACCCAGATTTTGGCGTGAGCCCTGAGCAGGGAGCCCGTGGAGCCAGCGGGACCAGCCCACTGCAGAGCTGTATTGAGGCTCGTAGCAGACGGCTGCAGACGCAGAAGGCCCGGGGGGGCGGGGGGGCTGGCATCCCGAGACGCCAGCCCCAAGTCCGCCAGCCTCGGAGGACTTTAAGTGGAAGGCCTTGAAGGTATGAGCAGAGGCAGGGTCTGGAAAGTGAAGCTGAACCACACGGGACAAAATACACGAACCTCACAGTTCCTGGGGGCTCAGGAAGTGGCACTTGTGGGTGGTCATTCTCCATGCCGCACACCGGGGGAGGGGTGAGCCAGACCAGACCCTCCCTGTGGTTTCACGGACCCACGTCATGGACCGATGTCAGCCATTGTTTCCAAAGTCCCTTTAACTTGGTTCCAGGAGGCCTTTTGATCCAAGCTTTTAAGGAATTCTGTGTTTTTGGTATATGTCTCCAGAGTGGGAGGCTTCACACCCCTTCGCTCGTTTGCTGGTGGAGACACTCTGGATGGTGGAGCAGGCCTGTGTCCTCTTGGGGCAGGGTCCTCGGGCACCTTCCAGAGAGAGCACGTCCAGCAGTGGGAGTTCCTGCGGCCCTTTGGCTGTTTGGTGTCCTCCTCTATGGACCTTTCCAAATCATGTGTTTCCCCATCAAGACTCCTGAGTCAATGAATTGTGTGTTTTGTACAAAAGCAGGTCAGTTATGTGTCTAACTTGATTTTGGATCAGGTCATGATCTCAGGGTTGGAAGGTCCAGCCCCAGGTCTGGCTTGGCACCAAGTGTGGAACCTGCTTAGGGTTCTCTCTCCCTCTGCCCCGCCCCCTCCATGTGCACACGGCTCTGTCTCCAAAAAAAAAAGCAGGTTGTACAAAAGAAGGTTCCGCCTTCTATACCTTTCATCTCATGCATGTTAATACACTGACGGACATGTTCTTGAAAAGAAAGGGCGCTCTGCTGCTGAGGGCCCAGGGACGCCAGGGGTGTGCTCCCTGCAGGGAGGCGGTTGCTCAGAGAGCATGGTGGCGCTGTGTGCATCGCTTGCCAGGCAGGCTGCCCAGAATGGAGGAGGCCTCCACGCTCTGTGCTAGAAGCGCATCCTGGGGCCTCAAGTGGGAGAGGACCGGGGTCGGCTGGGGGAGAGGCCTTGACAGGCGAGGAGGGAATTCTCAGTGTGGTGGGGTGGTGAAAGATGCTAAAACCAAGTGTTTGATTTCAAAAGTGTGGCCTGGAAGAGGCTGGCTGTGGCTACACAGCGGGCAGAGTATGAGTTTACAAAAGGCTAGCAAGGGCCTTGCAGGTCTCCACCAAGCCCGAGCCCTCAGTCCCTCAGCAGCAGCCAGAATTCACGGAGAAAGTCCATGCTTGTAGCCATCCCACGGCTCAGGATCTGCCCCCGTCAGTCTGCCCAGCGGACTTCAGATGCGCCTAGCCAGTTCCTCACCTACACCTCCGACAGGTGAGGCCTCCCGGGCGACCCTAGCTGAAAACATTGGGGCCAGAAGTGGTTCCCAAGGACGGTCTTCAGGATGAGTTCTCTGAATGGGGTGTGGGACCTCTGGCTTGGTCCTCTAATCCGATGAGATAGAAAAGCACTCTCTCATGTGGGAGATGGGTCACTGTGGCCTGCCCCGGGATGCCCGTGGTCGAGAACCTGTAGGAGGAGAGATTCTGGGTGAACGTGCTACCTCAGGACATTTTGGTCTGAGTAACAAGGATGTGGGGTCAGCTGGCTGCTTTCACGGTGCTGGGCAAAGTGGCGAAGGAAGGAATGGGTGTGGGCGCCACATTTCCCGCTCACAGTCACATAAGGGACTGGAGAGCTTCTGTATCTGCCCCAAGAGCAGCCACAGAGCGAGACCCAGGCTCTCCTGCCGTGGGTGGCTGAACGACAGCACAGGTCATGTTCACCACTGGTGCCAAGCTGTCCGTCTCACTGGGCCTGCCGGTGTGAAATCATATGTCATGTATTTTAATCAAAGTCGAGCATCTTCTATGTTCACAAGCTGCCGGTGCCTTCAGTTCTGTGCCCCGCTTTGTGAGGAAGTTACTGAGTAAGCCTGACGCAGTCCTTAGCCAGGCCTGCCTGCGAGGCCAGTCCCTGGCTGGTGACGGTGGCTCACATGCCTAAACCATGCGCGCAGGGTTTTGGTCTGGGAGTCGGCAGTCCCGGTGCATGCCAGGGGGTGCCTGTGTGCCCAGCCCCAGTGTGGACCCCCGGTGCCCAGTGTCCGCGGCTTTCCCGGAGAGATGGAGCTCCCTGCCGCGTGTCCTTGCAGGGGGCGGAGCAGGACGGCAGCACAGCTCCCGTGGGGGCTCCCCGTGCCCCTGCCTCTTGTCCACATGCTTTTTCCACACACTGATTTTGTTCCGTGTCCTTTCCCCGTGACGAAGCTCTGCCGTGAGCATGACTCTATGCGGAGTCCTTCCGGGGAGTCAGTGAACCTGGGGGCGGTTTGGGGACCCTCAACACACGTCTCCCCGAGTCTTTCCTGGTCTCCCCTCTCTTAATGCCTCTGGCTTTACTCTTCATCTTGGCATCCGGCGGGGCGAGACTTCGGCCAGTCCCGTAGAAGCAGCCGGTCAGTGGGGCTTCGCTCGGAGCTGCGTTGACCGTGAACCGGGTGGGAGGAGGTGGCCTGTGTATACCATCCGGTCTTCTGCCCGTGAGTGTTTGCCTCTTCTCCTGTGTGCTTCAGGCCCCTGTGCCTCGTTGGTCAGAGCTCGCCCAGGAACTTGGCCTAAGAGTTGGTCTCACACCCAGAAACCTGACGAAAGTGTCCTCAGTTCTGCCCAACGGCTGTCAGTCCTTGGGGCTCTTCTCGGGGATGCACCACCCACAAACGGCGACACTTTTCTTGCTTCCCTTCCAAACCTCCCAGTTTCTGGTTTTCCCCTTCCTGTCACGTTCGTTCAGACCTCCAGGACGGTGTCGTTGCCTTGGGCCGAAGCGGGGCGGCCGCTGTCCTCTCCTCGTTGCCTTGGGCCGAAGCAGGGTGGCCGCTGCAGAGCCAGCCGGCCAAGGACCCCTCCCACCACCGATCTCCGCAGCCACTGAGATAACCATGGAGGCTTGTTCCCTTTAATGTGCCAACGTGGCATTTTTCGTTTGGGACCAACCTTGCACTTCTGGGTTGAACCAGTCTTGGCGGAGCACGTAACCCTTTTCCAACGTTGCTGGCTTTGGTTTGAAGTTCTTATTTGGGACGTTTGGATGGCTCTTGAGGAGCATGTCTGACGTCAGACTGTTCTTTCTCATCACCTTCTTTTCTGGCTTCATCACAAACAAGTTGAGGAGCTTTTCCTCTTTCTGCAACTTTGAGTAATATTTGAACTATCTTCTCCTCAAATGTTGACTGACTTTCTGCAAGGCTTCCTGACCTGATGTTTTAGGGGAGGGAGTGTCTAGTGATGATTCTTTTTCCTTTAATAATTATAGGGTTATTTAGTTGTCCACATCTTCTTGAGTCACTTTTGGTAATTTCTGTTGTTTTCTGGTCCATCCCGCCCAACATTCCAGATCCATACAGTTGTTGGTAAGTCCCACCATGTCTGTAGCTTTTTTCACACTTCCAGTCTCTCTGGTGCATACTTGTGCTCCTTCTTTTTTCTTGATCTTGCTGAGATTTGTCAATTTAATAAGTCTTTTCGAATTACTAGTATTTGGTTTGTTGATCCTATTGCATTTTTGTTTTCTATCTCATTAATTTCTATTCTTATCTTTATCGTTTCCTTCCTTTTGCTTTCTTAGGGTTATTTCCAAGTGGAGTGCTTAGCTCCTTAATTTTTAGCCTTTTAAATTTTATGATGTAAACATTCAAGATCATAAATTTTTTCTTGAAGTACTGTTTTCACTGCATTCCCTCAGTTTTGATATGTAGTACTTTTATTATTTTATAGTTCTAATAATTTTTAAGTACCCGTTATAATTACTTATTTGACTTAAGATTTCCTTAGAAGGCTGTTTTTCAATTTCAGAAAGCTTGGAGTTTGGGAGCTTTTAAGTTACCTTTTTAAAAATGGGTTTCTAACCTAACTATATAGTAGTCAAGGAGCATAGTCTATGTACTGCCAATTTAGATATTTGTGAAGACTTGCTTTGTAGCCAAGTAGAGGATCTTTTTATGAATGTCCCACGTGGGTTTTAAAAGGATACATATTCTCCTCCAATTATGCTCATTTCCATCTCTCTCTCTCTCTCACTCACACACACACACTCTCAATAGATCAAGCTTAATTAATGTGTTGCTCAAATAATTTGTATCTTGTTTATTTTTCTGCTTAATTCTCTGTACTGAAGTTTCCTAGGATGGTGGGTTCATCCTGTAGTTGTGTCAGAATTTGCTTTCTATGTTTTTAAATTGTGTTATTAGGTGCGTATGCATATATTTTTTAGAATTCTTGTATCTTCCTGTTGAGTTAAATATTTTACAATTATGAGGTAAACCTCTTTGACTCTAATAATGGTCTTTGCCATAAAGTCTATTTTAACTAATATTGATATCATTCTCCAGCATTCTTTAGATAGTATTTGTATATCATTTCTTGCCTTTCTACTTTGAACCTCCTTTACTCTTATATATTAGATGTATTTCTTATAAATTGCTTCTAGCTGAATGTAAAAAAAAGTCTAGTCTGACAATCTTTGCTTTTCAAATTATTTGTTTAGTCTGTTTACACTTGATGTAACTGCTGACATACTTTGGGTTCAGTTGTACTACCCTGACTTGTGCTTTCTGTTGGTCTTACTTTTTCTGTTATTTTTTCCCTTTTTTCCTTAACATTCTTTTAGTTTTTTTTATCCTTTTTCTATTTTTCTCTCTATTAACTTGAAAGTTATAGGTTCTGTTTCAATTCTTTTAGAGATCACCCTAGAAATTTTAACATTTATATTTGAGTTAACATTGTCTGAAGTTAAAGTTAACACGGGGATCTTAGAACAAGTCAGCTTTCTTATTCCTTTCCCAGCTTACCAACTAGTATTTTCCACTATTTTAACACAATGTGGTTTTTCTTAAATCTACAAATTAGACATTATCATATTTGTTTTATGTATTTGATGGTTTTTAGAGTTTATGGTGTGTGGATGTGCATATGCACAACAGACCTTGCTCCAAGAAAAAGCAATCTCTTTCTTGCTAAAAGAACGTCTTTTGCTACATTCTTTCATCGGGGCTATTTTTCACTGAAAAATCTCTATGTCTTTTCTCTTCTGAGAGAGAATGTAGCTGGGTTTATAATTGTAGTTTGACAAAGCTTTGAAAATAACGCATTGATTTTTTTTGGTGTCCATCGTTGCTGTTGAGACGTTTGCCATCAGTCCTGTGTCATTTCTGTGTAACTAGTCTGTATTTTCTCTTGAATGTCCGTTCATTTGGTTCTTTTCTCTTTTTTTTTTTTTTAAAGATTTTTTATTTATTTATTTTTGAGAGAGAGAGAATGAGAGAGAGAGAAAGCACGTGGGGGGGGGAGGGTCAGAGGGAGAAGCAGACTCCCTGGCGAGCAGGGAGCCCGATGCGGGACTCGATCCAGGGACTCCAGGATCATGACTTGAGCCGAAGGCAGTCGCTTAACGAACTGAGCCACCCAGGCGCCCAATTTGGTTCTTTTCTCACATTTACTTCAGTTGTGTTTGTTTATTTTATTTTTTATTCATCACATAGATGTATATTTGTTATCACTACAAAGTAACCACTTGTTTTATTGCTTTTTTCTTACTTTTTGTAGTAAAATATACAAAACATAGGTCATTTTAACCATATTTAAGAGTGCAATTTAGTAACATTAAGGGCACTCACAGTGTTGTGTACCCACTATCGAGTTCCAAAAATTTTTCATCATCCAAACAAAGGCTTTATCCCCATTAAACCATCATTCTCCTTCCCCTTCCTCCCAGCCCCTGGCACCTGCCATTCTACTTTCTGTCTCTATGAATTTGATTTCTCTAGATACCTCATATACACGAATCACGTACTATTTGTCTTTTTGTGTCTAGATTGTTGCACTCAGCATGATGTCTTCAGAGTTCATCCGAGTTGTAGCACGTGTCAGAATTTCCTTCCTTTTTAAAGCTGAATAAATTCTAGTGTGTGTGTGTGTGTGTGTGTGTGTGTGTGTATTTGAGGGGGTGTTTACCCATTCATCTGTTGATGAACACTTGGAACACTTGGGTTCTTTCCACCTTTTGGCTATTGTGAATAATGCTACTATGCACCTTGGCATACAGGTATCTGTTCAATTTTCTGCTTTCAGTTCTTTCAGATATATACCTAGAAGTGGAATTGCCAGATCATATGGTAATTCTATGTTTAGCTTTTTGAGAAACTACCATTTTCCACAGTAAATATACCATTTTATTACAACCAGCAATGCATGAGGGCTCCAATTTCTCTACCTCCTTACTAAAACTTATTTTCCTTAAAAAAAAAAAAAAAAAAGCCATCCTAGTGGGTGTGAATTTGTATCTCATTGTGGTTTTGATTTGCATTTCTCTAATGATGAGTGATGTTGAGCACCTTTTCGTGTGCTTGTTGGCCATCTGTATGTCTTCTTTGGAGAAATGTCTATTTAAGCCCCTTGCCAATGTTTAATTGGGTTATTTCCTTGTTTGTTGTTGAGTTATAGGAGTTCTTTATATGTTCTGGATATTAATCCCTGAACAGACACATGATTTGCAAATATTCTCACTCACTCTGTGGGCTGTCTTCTCACTATCTTGATGGCGCCCTCTGATGTACAAGAGTTTTTAGTCCTCAGGAAGCCTAATTTTTCTATTTTTAATTTTGTTGTCTGTGCTTTGGGTGTCATATCCCAGAAATCATTGCCAGATCCAATGCCGTGACATTTTCCCCACCATGTTTTCTTTTAAGATTTTTATAGTTTTAGCTCTTACATTTTTGAGTGGCCTCTCCCATTCTCCAGAGATAACTAGTGATTGTTTAGAAACATGCCCAACACATCGATAGAGCCGTGTTCGGCATTTCTGCGTGCTGCTGCTGGCACCTCATCCGTAGGTACTTTGCCCCCTGCGGCATGGGAGAGCTTTTGTTGCATCCTGAGTCCTTTTGCTAGAATACTTGTGAACTTTGATAACTTCTTTGTTTTCTGACACCACGAGACCTTCCAGCTTCATTGTGTGCGTTTTCTGCCTCAGACCTGGAATCAGCTATTTCTCAAGAAAGGTGCTGACCCCCTTTCCACCTATGTGGAAACCAGTCTGGGCACAGGATGCTCCTGGCTGTAGGGTTGGTTCTTCTTTCTAGGCCTTTATGGTGGCCGGAGGGATGAAATACTTTTCAATATATAAGAAATTCATAGTGAAGCTTTCTATTCAGGCCTGAAGCCGTGGTGCAATTTCCTTAGTTTTAATTCACACCTCCCCTCTCCCAACTGAACCCGACCCAACACCAGCATAATGCATCTGTTTTTGTCACAGTTCACACATGAACGTTTCCAAGTAACGATGCCAGTATTATCGCCAACAATAGGATTGCTGCAGGGTTTTTTCATTTTCGGTCTGTAGTGAAGAACCCTGGAGATGCACTGTCGATGTACTGGTGTTCGTCCACGTGTCACTTGGAATACTTCTTTCCATGCAGTTCATTTGTTTCATCTTCTTTGGATTTTTAGAGATTGCTTTTTAAATTTTAATTTTGTTTGCAATTATGTAAAATGTTTGTAGGATTCTAAGACCAAATCTATACAACAAGGCAATGCCCCAGGACTCAGGCTGCAGGACTTGCTGGCTGCTCAGGTCCCAGACAGAGGCAGCTCTGGGGGACAGGGCGGGGCCCGGGGGAGACAGGGGGTGGGGGGGGACAGGAACAGCCCTAGTTGCCGGCGCCAGTGTGCCCCTCACCTGTCGCTCTGCCTCCCGTACAGGTTGCCAGGCAGGAGGGAAGGATCGTCTTGACATCGGGGCTGCCGTAACACAGGTGAGGGCCCCAAAGGTGGCTCACCTCTGAGCCTCATCTTTCCAAGGGAGCCTCAGCCTGGCCCTTGGGCCACCCCCTCTTGGGGTCTCACCGTGGAGCTGATGGGAGTGGGGGCTGACCCGACACTGCTGTCTCAGCCTGGGTGGGCTGAGGAGAGGCTCTTGGCCCCTGAGCTGGGGGAGGGGAGCTGGGCCTGGAGAGGTTCTGGGGTCTGTGCTTGCCGCTCAGTGACCACACTTCTGTGCAGCTCCGGGCCCAGGTCGGGGCTGGGCACTGCCCCTCGGTGGACCGCTCCCTCAAGGCCAACAGCAGGTCAAGGCCATGCTCAAGCATTTCACATGCGTGTCACCCATGCAGACATCTTCAGCCGCCGCCAGGTGGGTCCCCCGTGCCCCAGGCCTGCCGTGGGCCAGTGTGTGAGCCCCCCAGCTGTCAGGAAGCCACTTCCATGGCAGGCAAGACCCAGCATGTCTCTGGAGGGCGGCAGGACAGCAGAGGCCATGTGCTTTGGGGCTTGTGCCCTTGCAAGCAGCATCCGCCACTGCCCCACCTGCGGCGTTTCCTCCTCTTCCTCCCACCCCCATGGGGCCAGGAGGTGGCAGAGTGCTGGCACCGGCCTGGCCACAGGAGTGGCTCACGTGGGACGCCTGTTTGACCCAGGCGTTTCCTCCCGTGTCCAGGGCTGGCCTCCCACAGGACTTCTAGATGAAGGAAAGGGAGCCGGAAGTTGCACCTGGCTGGGGGCGGGGGTGTCCCATTTTCGGAGGGCAATGTCCACAGCCGCAGATGGCCACTGGGTCCATCCTGACGTCTAGAAAGGTCTGGGTGAAGAAATGGCCGGGTCAGGGCAGCCGTATCCAGGGTTAAGATCGGAGAGGGGTCTGGGACCTGGGTACCATCTGCTGATTGGGCCAGGGAGGGGGCACCAGGGGGCCCTGAGTGCCATCTGGCTGAGGGGGAGGTGGTGCAGGCTGGGGCGTGGCTGCTCCATGTCGGGGCCTCGTTGGGATACAGCGGGCACAGAGGGCCTTGGGGCCTGTCCTAGCGTGCTCCCGTGGCTCCTGGTGCAGAGTGCTGGCTACTCCCAGGATATTTTGGAGCTGCAGCCACGACGAAGCTCCATCAGGAGCACCTCCCCAAGCCCAGCTGCCTGGTGGATGCTGGGCCTCACCTCCACAGTGCCAGGGGAGGGGTCATCTCCGGCCAGGCCCCTGGGACCTGAGCCCACGAGGCCGAGTCAGGAGATTTGCAGCTAGTGCAGCGTCTGTGCACGCGAGGGCAGGCGTGCAGCAGAGTGGGAGCGGGGAGGAGGGCCTGGACCCCCGCCACCAGGCCTCAGGTGCCCTCTGTGCAGACCCCCGGGCCCCCTGCCCTGCGTGGCGGGAAGTGAGCTGCAGGGCCTTTTCCTTCAGCGAGCTCTGGGAGGACAGGAACCTTGTCGGCTGCCTCTCTTTGTCTGTGCTCAAGCCGACAAGTGTTGTAAAGACCCCAGGACGTCCGGGACGCCTGGGAGGCATTTTAATGAGCTTTTCAGAGCCTCTGCTGCTAAGTTTTCTTGAGAAAACAGGAAGTTGGGTAGCTGGGAGGAAACCCCCACTGGCGCCCCGGGAAGCCTCGTGCTGGGGAGCAGCCTGACCTCCTTCAGGCCTGCGAGGGCACCGAGCCACCACACCCCTGCACGGGGAAGAGCGTCCCCAGCCTCACTGGCCTCGTCCATCCTGTGCCGTTAGCAGCCCTCAGGCTGAGGGCCCCGCTGCCCTGTGGGGGCGGGGGCAGGGGCGGGCAGGATGCAGGCTGTTTGAGGACGCCTGGGGGGCCACATGGAGCCAGTTCAAAGGCTCGGAGGCAGAGCCCTGATAGGGGACCAGCCAGTGCCCAGGCCGGAGAGGTGGGCACTCGGCCACCCCAGGACAGGGGACAGCCCATGGGGGCACAGCTGGGAGGGGGGTTACGGGGGTGCTGGGATCTATTCTGACTGCAGCAGGTGGGATGCATTCGGAGGGTTCTGACCACCAAGTAGGGAGGTGGGAGATCTGGGAGCAGCTGCTGGGCCTGCGCAGGTGAGAGGTGGCAGGCATCTGAGCAGATGAGCAGGAGCAGATTGAGAATACAAGTTAAGGCTATGGCTGGGTTCCTAGGTTGTAGGCTTTGCCCTGGCCAGTGGGCCTGGGCTCCCTGCAGGCTGGGGAGGGGCATGGGGAAGGAAGGGGAAGCCTCAGCCCCCAGCTCACTGCTCACCTGGGGGCCCTGCCCAGCACTGTCCGTATTTGTGGGAGATATGCATTCCACCCAAAGCCAGCTGGTGAGGAGGGAGACAGCGTCCACGACTTGGGACCATGCGACCGCACTGGCCAAGAAGCAGAGGGCAGCCACCCCAGCATCAAAGGGTGCACAGGGCTGGGGAGGGGGTCCCAGGCAGAGACCTGTGTGTGTGGTCACAGTCAGGGGCTGGCCACTGCGTGGGCAGCAAGTGGGGGTGCAGGTAAAAGGCTGTGTGCCGGCGCCTGATGGGCCTTTGTCAAGAAAGGGCCCAGGGAACCTTCTGGTCCCAGGGGTGGCCAGTGGCCTCCAGCTGAGCTCAGCTCCGAAAGAAAGTGTGCTGGGTGTGCCCCAGGGCAGGACCCTCCCTGGGTGGCAAATAGCTGTTTAGGAGGGTCCACGAACGTGTACAAGGACCCTGAAAGGCCAGCATTACAGGGCCAGGTGGGCAGAGAAAGGGGTCTCTGAGAAGCCAGGATTTCTAAATTTGGACCCAGCCATGATCACCAGGGAGGCACCTTGGGAAGGGTGGGAGGACTGAGCTTACTCTGTTTCCGCGAGCTGGTAGCATTAATGCCTAGGCCTGAGGCCAGGGTTCTCACCGAGGTTCTCAGACCAAATACCTGGTTATTGTGAGGCAGGTGGCTCACTGATGTGTGGCAGTTACGTGCGAGCAGCAGGTCTGGGCAGGCCTCCGGCCACATTCCCTCCAAGTGTTCCTGGAGCCCCTCCACCACGGCATTCCCAGCTGAACCCCAGGGGCTCAGCCTCAGCTACAGCGAGGAATGGCTGACCACCCGTCCTACACACTGGCCACCCCTACTCCCAGCCCAGTGTCGGGGGAGATGCCGTTCTCGGGGCCAGCGGGGTGGACTGGTGGCAAACACCAAGAAGCATAGAAGAGGTGCCCCATGGACGCTGCAGGGTGATAGCCCGAGGCTCAACACAGTGACGAGGCTGGCTCCGTGTGGTTCTGTGGGGCTCCGTGTGGTTCTGTGGGGCTCCATGTGGTTCTATGGGGCTCCATGTGGTTCTGTGGGGCTCCATGTGGTTCTGTGGGGCTCCGTGCAGTTCTGTGTGGTTCCGTGGGGCTCTGTGGGGCTCTGTGTGGTTCCGTGGGGCTCTTTGTGGTTCTGTGGGGTTCTGTGGGGCTCTGTGGGGCTATTGGCTTGTAAGCCTATCTAGGCATCAGAAGGTGCTGTCCACTGACCAGCAGAGAGCATCACATTCAGGACTGACCCAGGGAGGGCCTCTGTGCAGTGCTCGGCCTTCAGGGCCCTGTCCTGTGCTCCGGTGGGCCTCAGCACCCTGGCTGGTGGCTCAGAGCCTCTGTCGCCCCTGGCCCCGGCTGGAGCAGGCTGCCTCCCTGGAGACCTCCCACTGCCAGGCTGACTTTCCATTTTCCTTCCCTTCCTCGTGCTATTTTAGTGCCATTCCCAGAGGGAAAACCCACTTGACACACAGAGCATTCCCAGAGCGGGCCTGGCCACTCTCCGGGCCGGTGCGTCGGGGTACAAGGCTGGATGTGCAGAGGGAGAAGGCCCGGTCCAAGGTTGGTCCAGGGGCCTGGCCAGGGGTCCGTGGCCATGCCTCACACTGGTGCCCAGCCCCTGACCCAAAGCTGTGGCGTGTGCCCTGGGCACCAGGGTCCACCTTCTGGGGCATCTGCACGTGAAGAGCCAGAGTCAGGTGGTGGAGGCCTGAAGCGGGCAGGGAGATGGCCCACCTGCCCACTCCAGGGATCAGGGGTGGTGGGTCTCACATGGTGGGCAGGATCATGACCCCTGAAGCTGGCGACCTGGGCCTGGGATTGTCCATCAGGAACATCCGCCGAGAGGACATTCCCAGTGCCGTCCACCATGGGAAAATATTTTATCAAAGAAATTTGAGTTAAAAAAAAAAGCCTAAGCATGAACCCCTGACATGGCTAGGCGTAATGTCTATTTTTACTGTCCCTCTGGTCCCCCTCCACTGTGATGGGGAACAGGCTGTGGCCCCCATGTGGAAGTCGGGGAGTGTCCTGGGAGGGCAGTCAGTGACGTTGGCCTCCGGAAGTGGGCACCCGGGAGGGCAGGCCTCTGCGGGACGGTGACCCCGCCTTGGGGAGCTCTCGGGCAGCGCTGGCTGCAGGATCCCCAGGGGGAGAGGGAGTGAGGCCCGAGAGAAGCCTGCAGTCGGGGGAGGCCGGGGCCAGAGAGAAGCCTGCAGTCGGGGGAGGCCGGGGCCCGAGAGAAGCCTGCAGTCGGGGGAGGCCGGGGCCCGAGAGAAGCCTGCAGTCGGGGGAGGCCGGGGCCTGCAGTCGGGGGAGGCCGGGGCCAGAGAGAAGCCTGCAGTCGGGGGAGGCCGGGGCCCGAGAGAAGCCTGCAGTCGGGGGAGGCCGGGCCTTGGGCTGCAGGCTCACAGGCATCCAGGAGACAAGAGGGCTGCGCAAGGGCCCTGGGACAGAGGTGGACAGCAGCCCAGACTGATCTCTGGAAGGGGAAGGATGCAAGCAGAGGGCTCCCAGGGCCTGGGGATGTGAGGGGAGCTCCAGAGCAGCCAACCCCCGACACCCATGCCTGGAACCCAGGGCGAGCCGCGGCACCTGTGCTTGGCCCGGTCCCTGGGCCTGCAGACCCTCCCTCTATCTTGATGACCAACTGCAGACCAGGGACCGACAGGAAGAGGGGCCATGGCCGCTGACCCCGCCCCTCCCCATCCTTTGTGCTCCCTGGCCCCCAGCCCCGTTCCCACACTCGGTGCCCCCAGGGTCACACAGGCACAAAGCCTGGGGAGGGGTGGCCACCACCCTGCACAGGGAGAGACCCCAGCCCCCTGGCTCTGAGGCTGCAGGAGGAGCGGCCGCGGGGGCTCTGGAAGAGGATAGGTTTCCGCGCTGTTGTGAGACCTCAAGGACAGTGGGATCCACCAGCAGGTTTTGGCGGGGGCTGAGGCCGGCGTGCCCCCAGACTCGAGAGGCTAGCCAGGGTGATGGCTAGCCAGGGTGATGGCCCAGAGCAAGCCTGGTGCCGTCCCTAGGGGTGACAGCAGGGTGGGTCACCTCCAGGGTCTCCCCACAGCTTGTAGGGTCACCCCCTCTCCCTTCCAGAGAAGTCGTGGGTCTCCGAGCCCTGGCTTC